AATTGTAAATAATTTATGTGTATAAGTAAAAATGTCATCAGAATCGGACCTCAAATTAGTTATGACAATGTTTAAAAAAAAAATATGTTTTATATGAAAAATATAGGGAAACATTTTTCACCTAAAAATGTAGATTTTGACGTTTTGAACATTTCCGCCTTTGTCAGATTTGCTCTATCTATAACAGTTTACAAGATAATAGACAATACTTGCATTTTTCGCCCTATGTTTTATTTTTAGCCTTGGTGTCCATGTTGATTGACATATTTTTAGCTCACCTGGACCAAAGGGAAGGGTCAGGTGAGCTTTTCTCATCACTTGGCACCGTCGTCCGTCGTCGTCGTCGTCGTTAACTTTTACAAAAATATTCTCTTCTGAAACCACTGGCCCAAGTTAAACCATTACTTAGGGTATCTAGTTTACAAAATGTATCCGATGAGCCCGCCCACCAATCAAGATGGCCGCCATGGCTAAAAATAGATCAAAGGGGTAAAATGCAGTTTTTGGCTTATATCTCTGAAACTAAAGCATAAAGAGCAAATCTAACGGGGTTAAAATGTTCATCAAGTCAACATGACCAAAATTGTCAATTGACCCCTTAAGGAGTTATTGCCCTTTAAAGTCAATTTTTCACTATTTTTCGTAAATCTTTTACAAAAAATCTTCTTCTCTTAATCTACTTGGCCAAATGGAATTAAACTTAGCCACAATTATTATTAGAGTATCTTGATTGAAAAATGTATCCGATGACCCTGCCCTACAACCAACATGGTCCCAATTGGTAAAAATAGAACATAGGGGTTTACTATAGAAGTCTATGGGAAAAATGGGAAAAAACAATTTCAAATGGTCACAACTTGAAAACTAATTTAAAAAATGATAAGGGGTCTTCAGTAACTATTGTAAGACTACAATGGGATGACTTGATTTTTTACCAGGGGGTGCAATTTTTTCAGGGGGGATGCTAATAATTTCTCCTTGATATGTTCCATTTTCAGAATTATTCAGTGTTACTTTTATAAACCATTATTATATCTTTTCTTTCAGCATACTTATATTAGGTGAATGTCCCCCATACCCGGCGGGTTAGTCGGGGTCAGGGGAACCCCTGCCCAATTTTTTTTGAAGGGTGTTCAGCATTATTAGATTGAGATATACTGTAAACAGCAAGAATATCAAACAAAGAAAGATCTACAAATAAGTTAACATGACCAATTGGCAATTGACATCTTATTGGAGTTATTGTCCTTTAAAGTTATTTTCTGCAATTTATTGGTAATTTTTGAAAATCTTTTCAAAAATCTTTTGCTTTTAATTTAACTTCTGGGCCAAATTAAAACAAACTTGGCCTCAATCATTATATATTAGGGTATCTATATGATTTTAACCTTATTTTACACGATTTCCAAAACCACAGTAGATACAGGTGAGCGACACAAACTCTTGAGAGCCTCTAGTTAACTATAGTTACCCTGAAGGTAATTGTGGCCAAGTTTGGTACCATTTGTCTAATTAGTTTCCGAGGAGAAGATTTTTATAAAATTTAACGGACCACGGACGCCGGACGACGACGGACGCCAAGTGATGGGAAAAGTTCATACTGGCAATTTTGACAAGGTGAGATGAAAGGGGTTGATTGTTACCAAACGTCCAGTGGCAAATTTTTCATGCACTAAGAAAGAAAAGGTTTTGCAAACGCAATATTGACTGTACAAAGGGAAGTATGGACTTTTCCTATTTCTCCTCTGACCTCTTTTTGGCCATTTTCATTGACATATTTTTAGTATACATACTTTAGTCTATTCTATTCGTTCCGCCTTTAGTTTGTATTCCTTTTCATTTATAATTGGTCGCAGATCTTCCACTCTTAAAAACAAATAAATATAAATAGATCATAAATAATACACAAACCTATGTCCTTTGTATTTTTAATTCCGGAGAAAGTCTTTTATCTCTAACTTTTCTTTCGAATTTATTCCATCTTATATATTTCCTACTCTCATATTTTCTTCAATTAGCAGCAGTTCAAAATGTATGGACACATTTATCGAATTTTAACTTAAATGTAAAAAAAAATAAAGACGATAAAGGCAAAAAAGGAATTTCTTATGAAATATAAATATATATGATTACACAAACATATGTCCTTTGTATTTTTAATCCTGGAGAAAGTATTTTATCTTCAACTTTTCTTTCGGATTTATTCCATCTTGTAAATTTCCTCCTCTCATATTTTCTTCAATTAGCCGTAAACATCAGTTCAAAATGTATGGACACATTTATCGAATTTTGACTTATATGTAAAAAATAAAAATAAAGACAATAAAGGCAAAAAAAAGACTATGAAATATACATGACTGAGTGTATGGATCAGGGTCATTAATTTATGTATTCTTTAAATTTTTAGTGTATTTTTCTTTGAATATAATTCATATTCTGTAAAATTTTCATAACAATGATTTTACAATTTAAAAAACAAAATCTGTGATTTGATGATTTCTTTATTCTGTACATCGTCCATTTCTGTAATCAGAGTTGTATTACTAATTCTTTTATTTTCCACAGTATTCTTTTTTATACTTTTGAACTCCATCATTCTCTATTTTTATATTTGTTGCTCATTGTACCCTTATCATTATTTTTTGCTATTATTCTCTATTCTTTATTTTTTATATAAAAAAGAAGATGTGGTATGATTGCCATTGCGACAACTCTCAACAAGAGACCAAATTACACAGAAATTAACAACTATAGGTCACCGTACGGCCTTCAACAATGAGCAAAGCCCATACCGCACAGTCAGCTATAAAAGGCCCCGAAATGACAATGTATGTTCACTTTACCCTATTCATTATTATTTGCTATTGTTGTCTATTCTGTAAAACCCATCCGGACCCTCATGAATGGTCCCCTGTCCTCATAAGCATGGCATATCATGAATTCTTTTATAGTTTGGGTCCAAAGAAGACGCTTTATGTTTAGACTGCCTTTTTTATTTTGTCGTTCGTTGCAAATAAATCTGTATCTTCTTAAAATCAGCGTAGCATTATTGTGTATAGTTAATGAAAGATAACTCTTATGGATAAAATATCTATGGGATAAAACCGAAAATATCGATGTTGGTCTGAGTTCATTGACATGTAAAACCAAACAAAATTTCATCGGTTAAAGTTTACCCATCAGCTTTAGCTCAATTGAAGTTAGAATAACATACCTCTTTGAGAGTTATGATTCGGTTCCATTACTCGCATAGGAACACCCAGGAATGAATCACTCCTAACCGACAAAAATCATGCATTTAGAGCTTCGGTGACTAATGCAACGATTAAATTTAATTAAAGATGGACATTTTAAAATTAAACAACAAAATTCGAGAAATTGTGAGGTTAAGTGCAATCGAACAATTTATTGAAATTTGAATAAACGAGTAATAAAATTGAAAAAAAGTATTCGTACTGAAAAGAAGTGGTTGGTTAAACTTCTGAAAGTGACAAACAAAAAAGTAAAGTCTTATAGTTTAGAAGTTAGTCAGTCGACCGTGTACTCTTTTTTTTTCACATTTTTTTTTAACTAATTTTTTTTTCCAAAGAGGGGGAGGGCAAACTAATAGTTTTGTCCAATGCTATCTAAGCGTGAATATATGCAAGATATTCTTAATAAAGTGTCTCTTAATTTGTTTCATGGGAATAACCGACATTATTTCTTTTAATAGGACCAATAAATAAATATATTAGTCACATGTTAAAGGTTAAAACATCCACGTTTGCTTCATTCCGAGTACGTAAAACTTGTGGGTTACGCTATTGTAAATAGTTCGACTGTAGTAAAAGCGAATTCGAAGACAATTTTTAAGGAGCATCACTACTTAATTAATGATTCAGAAAATCGACAAGCATTCCCAATATCTACGAGATATATATTAGAAAAACATAAAAATATTTTTTGAAAACCACCGTCCATCCTTAAATTGGAAATCTTCGATAATTTGAATTGAATGCGATTGTCTTGATTAGTTCTGAACATGCAATTGAAATGAGATATACATAATAAGATAAAAAGGAAGGATGTCCCGTTTAGAATTACTTAGACTGATTTCATCAGTTTTAAATAATAATTCTTAAAGATCTCCGAACCATATAATTTCTTTAGAAACTATTTATAGAAATGGCGCAAGTGTTTGAACAAACACACCCACGAAATTTCACTCTCCTCGTTTTAAGTTAAAAATCTTTTCAACAATAATTTCTGTTATATAACCTGAACAATTGTCTTCTCAACCACAAAACATTAATGGTAACGGGATTGGGACAATGCAATTTGTATGAAATGTATTACTGGGAAAGAAAGGATGTGGCTTGGATGTACACGAGGCATTTGTGAAATATTTGGAGTGCTATTGATATAACGACAAGAAAAAAACAATAAAAATATTACCTAAATCCAATTATCTGTGACTTTTAAATGGAAAATTGATGATATAACAATAAAATTCTTTTCAAATAAAATATAGGAAAGTAATAAAATACCAGAAGGGGGCAATGAAAACTATAATTTGAAGAAAGAAAGACAACTGCATGCACAAAGATCCAAGTAAGGAAGATTAAAACAAATTAGATTTCCTTTAATAAAAATAAATCTAAGCTTCCAAGGAAAAGTTTTTTTTTCTTTTATCCTTTAATTTTTACTTTGCAAATTTTCAAATGTTCGCAGAAGAGTACACGTATCCTCTACTCAAATAATAGAATTTAAGAGCGAATATTTCACATCTGTAAGACTGGTCAAATTTCAAAATTTTCCAAAGTAAAACATAAAATGGGTCTTTTAAAATAATTACACCCCTCCTTTCTCGATAAATTGACAGTTTTTTACTCAATTTGAGAATAAAAGCGTGTTGTTATCTGTTACATAATTTTAGGCTTCAATTGACCTTGAAGCATTCTTCTTATGTAATCCCACCCACTGAAAATGGTTATCTGTTGAGTCAAGAACGGAAAGTAGAAACGGTTCTTGATTTTCAGTGAAGTGTGTTATAATTTCATTCAAAACAGACAGCGATCGTCTGGAAATGAACATTCTTTATTTAGGTATGTTGCAAGGTCAAACTTTAGAGAATTTTGGTACCCCATTTCCACTTCTTTTAGTTAATTAGTTGAAATAAAGATTAGTTTAGTATCATTTATCAGATGGATTTTCAGTATGAATTAAGATCACCAACTTTTTATTTCAATAATTGTTGAATTGCTTTTTACTCCCACTATACATTATATTTTCTTTAAAATATCAACGATCGATTATTTTTAAATGGCAAAACAATAATTCAATGATTTATACCCCTCAAACCCCCTCAAAACAAAACATATACACTAAAAAAAGTGGATATAAACGTACAACAAACTAAATATTAACATTTTTTTCTAGGCTACAAAACATGATGTGGAAAAAATATTTTTATTCTCCGGCTCGTATGTAGGATCTTTTGTACTTAATTGCTGCAATTCCTGAAAAGTCCATAGCTCTGAGAATAGTCAATTCATTATATTTATTGTATATGTAACCTGTACATGAGGATTTTTTTCCTAGAATATTGCACATTTTAAATGATTGGTCATTTTTTTTATGATTTTATTTAGTTACTGTGTTTTGCATTCTGCCGTCGATTTTTTTTTGGGGGGGGGGGGGTTTAAATGTGCATTTCTGTCCAATTACATTGAAATGGCAGTTCTGCAGTTTTCATCACAATATAGCAACCGTTGACCGGTAGATTTTAAAATTTGCTAGTAACTGTAAGGATTTCATTAAATCTTTGTCGATTTTCAAGGGCTCAAAAACTGCTTTTAGAAATACTATCAAAGGACTTTTCAGTGTACCTATATTTGGTTTCTGTTTATCAAATGAAGAAAGAGCCTGTCCTGGATTTCTTTACATGTACTTTTTGTTATGAAAATCATGCTCTCCGGTTACAGGTGTTACAATCTGACTGGTCAATGCAAAACTTCAATTCAAGATTATTTCATATTTTAGTTAGTATCCCTATTATTGATAATATCTGGCACCAAAAGATAATATTTTAGTCCATTTGGTTATCAATCAAATTATTTGCTTTCAACGTTACTTGGGAAAAGGGAACTAACTCAAATCATCTTTGAAAATTCAAATCAAGGTTAATTCCCTTTTATTATAAAAAAAAGTTACTTCACCAATATTCAACCATCAATTTCCCCCGTTCCCTCTACATAGGTACTAGTAACTGGATTTCAAAATCTATTTTTTTAACTCTTAGTCATGTTGCACCTAGTAAACAATAAGAATTATGTTAAAATATGAGGACTGTATAAAAATAATACAAAAGAATGAAAATACCATGTACATAAAATTTATTCATTATCAATTGCAATTTCATTTATATGGATGAACATGTAAAATATAACACATACAACTTAAAACAACATGTATATATAACACATACAACTTAGAATAGCATGTAAATAATGATAATCTGTAACGTTATACTTGAAAGCATGGAACAGCTTGTGACGAAATGCAAAAAAAAATGTCTTTGTCCGATATAATTCATAATTCCTAATCACACCGCAGCTGTGTTCTCAAATGCACACGTGATCGACACCAAGCAAAAAATTCCACTCAAAAAGGGCCAATGACCGTCTTACGGTTGCTGTGAGGTGAGAGTGCTAACTCCATGTTGAAGGCCTCATTGTCACTTGGAGATGAAGAACAGCAATAAACTGCTGTTTCTTAAATTTGTTTTGGATTATTTTCATTTGAGTGTAGTGATGTTTTGCATGAATTGATACACCCATATCATTTCCTTTCTTCATACACCAAATTTTACAACATTCAGCTCCAGTCCTCAATTCAATTTGATATGAAAATAAGAAGATGTGTTATGATTGCCAAGGAGACAAGTTTTCACCCGAGACCAAAAAGGACCCTGAATTAACTTAGTCTTTTGAAAATGTGTTTGATAGAGTATACATTTGATGATACCAAAAAGAAATGTAATACTAGTATATGTATCCTAGTGTGTGGATTTTCTCGCTGTGTTGAAGACCCATTAGTGGCCTTGGGCTGTTTTCTGCTCTTTGGTCGGGTTGTTATCTCTTTGACACATTCCCCGTTTCCATTCTCAATTTTAATTCTTTCGGATATGTGTGAGGGTCTGGAATTTTTTATTTTTTTTTTGTATTCTTTAATTTTGACGCCACGTTTCTCTGTCATTATGTTTTCATATTAAATTTGGCCCACTGTTTTCTCTATTCTGTATTTTTGGGGGAGCATTATTCTCTATTCTGTAGGACCCATGTTAAAGAAGGGCGTCCGTTTGGCTTTGATGCATGTATTAATACGGGGACGACAAAATGAGATTTATGGGAGGACAATTTTTACGAGATGACTATATATACATTTTCATCTTGGTTGCTACACATGCTTAATTTTTTTTTTCTGTTCCTGTTCACTTTTGTACACAATTTCATTTTTTTGTTGTTGTTGCTGTGTTGCATAAATTCTCAATTTCATCTTGTCTTGTGCGTGGTTGGGTTTTTTTCCAGCTCTAACCAGTCCAGGATATTCATTTTCAAAATCCTCCTGCACCCCTCCCCTCATAATATCAAATGGTCGTTCCTTTAGTTCAAGAACCCTTGCAATAACTCTTTGAACAGTCAGTTCGTAGATGGCCTATCAAACAAACCCAAACTCAATTTCAAGCGGCCATCAATTTCTGCAACTCTTTTTCCTTGTGGATTACTTTGCAGGGTTTATTGTTTATTTATTCTCGTACTGAATGAACTTAAAATAACACTTTATAAATGTCTTGCATCCGAAGCTCTTTTCGTGATTTACATTCATTATGAAAATGCATGAACTATTTGCAACTGGACGTAAGGAAAGAACAATCAATCAATCAATCATTGTAAAGTTCCACAACATAACTTAGTGATGTTTCATGTGATTTTTTTCTTACCATAAATAGATTCGAAATATTATTTTCATTATGATTATTGTCTGATTATTATTATTATCATAGATAGCTAGGCCACCCACATAAAAAACTAAAAATAAAACGTGGAAAACACCTTTTATATTTAGATCTTGTGCAATAAGTAGAATAGGATGTTGCAACAGCTATTTATCTTTAGTGAAACGTTCACCTGAGTTTTACCTGGATAAGAAAATTTGCAACCCAAACATTTAAAAATCTCAAAATTTGTAATTACTATTAACGCTCCACTGGATATTTTATGAATGGGAAGCACATGGTATTGAAATTTCCCACCTTTGATTGGTTTAAAGTTCATAAGAAGGCGGAGACTTACATTTCTAATTCCGAAGCTGACTCATTCGATTTATCTGAACAGAAAGAATGTTGCTTTAAAGCTGGATTTTATTTCATTGTGGTAAGTCTACATATTTCCCACGGTTAAAGTTGTTAGTATTAGTTTCAGAGTATATTATTTCCTCGAAGGTAAGCATATATTGTCAGTTTAGAAGAAAAAAATAAAATCGCGTAGTAAGTTTTTATCTACGATTGGAAATGAAGTTAAAATTTGAAATATTTTAAAGGGCAATTTGAAAGTGTCATATAAGATTATAGGATTATAGTTCGATGAATAAACATTTTATCTATTTAAGAAATTTAAACGGAGACAAATTGTTACTCTTTCACATACCAAAGATTCGGACTCGTGGTATTTTCCGTGCATTGTAACGTCTGAAACAATACCGTTTCAAAATGCCTCGTGTATTTTATTAGATTCAAATAAAAAATATTATTTTTCTTGCTTTCTTCTTTAAGTTTGTTATCACATGTTCTGAATTGAACATTCAATTAAATAATTTAAACGAATAACATGCATTTCAATTATGTTAAATTGCACGCTGCAATAACATGTTTATGATTTAAATTATTGAAACGAAACCACGAAATGCACAAAAAACTCCGGAAATATGCATGCATGCAATGGACATGTAATAAGTTAATAACTTGATTACTGAAATATGACAATTGGTAAAGTCAAACCATTCATGATGCGTAAAATTAATAAATTAGAAACATAATTGTCCCGACGAGTTGTAAATGTCAATTTAAATTACAAATTACATGTTTAAAACATGGCATTTTTAACTTTAAGGGGAATCGGTCTACAGTTTTTATGACAAAAGTTGAGTCATTTCAATAAAAAACGAAGTAAAACGTTTCACTTTTCATCATTTAAAATGTGCAATTCGATAATTAAATTTATTGGATAACAGAATTAAATTTATTGGGTAACATAATTGGCAAATAGGATTTGAAATTATAAGTAATTTGTATGGTGTTAAAAAATATAAATGTATGACAGTTTGAATTCCAGGACGGTTTCATTACTTTTTTTATTGCCATTTATACTTCATCAAATTGGGAAATGTAAAATAATTTCCGTATAATATTCATGTAAGTAGTTCCTTCTTATTGTGTTTATTTGTTTTTAATTTAAAATGTAAGAGGAAAATTGTTTCCAAATAAATATGATAGGTTATTTTCGTATTAAAGGAAATTGTTGTAAAAAATTATTGCTGACTACCAGCGACACATGATACAATATTTTGTATTATATACATGTATGTCTCTGTAATTACTAAGTAATTAAATAGAATATTTTAAGTAAATTATTGAAATTTTTAATTACATTTGTGGATTAGTGGATATTGGAATTTTATTGGAACTATTCATTTATGTATAAGTCAGTTTTAAGAAATATACTGGTAATAAAGATCACAATAATTTGTCTTTTCTAAATGATTACATAATGCATATATTTGTCCAACACTTCATATACATATACATATTATCCACTCCCGCATAAGCACGTGTGATTATCGAACACGTGGTAAAGATGAAATGATGTTTCGATTATTTGCAATTATGTGCAATAAATGCATTCTTTTCTGTTTTCATTTTCTGGCATATAGATAAACGTTACACGCAGTGTTGTACCTATTCAATGGCCTTAGAAATCAAATACAATCAATTTCACGATCAAACTAATCAATGAAACTGACGAGTCTGTTTTATCTTTTTCAGACTGAAAGATATCAATATGTATTCGACAGTAGTTATATTTGCAAGTTTAAGCAGTTGTTTCTTGGCAGAAGATATTCCTTTTTGTGAGGATGGATTTTATTACAACCGAGGCGAAGTCGAGTGTGTTCAATGTTCCGAATGCGAAGGAGCTAATCTTATTATCAGAGCCCCTTGTGGTGGTGATCAGAACACTATCTGTGGACCGTTTGTGGAGTTCGACAAATTCCATCAAAGTCCCATTGATAATGTCAAGCCCAACCAAACTTATGAATGGTTTGACAAGACTGTTGAGGATAATCAGCATACAAACTTTCCAACAACTGTTGACCAGGATAAGAAATGGTATACTCTCGCCATGGCCCTCCTTGGAGTATTATCTTTCATTTCCCTTGCTGTTGGGATATACATTATAGCTGTGTGTTTTGTTTGCAAGAGGCGAAGGCGAGAAAAGGAAATTATATATGACCCAGGTAAGAATACATGAGAGCTATATATATATATGTAATTCGACTATAGTGTATACATTCAACAGAAAGAATAGCAATAAAATTCCTTCCTCGTATGTGGACGATTAACAAACATTCATTTACTATTAATACTGAAAATTGTGTTGTGTTTTTCCCCCTGAAAACCGAGAATCCTTATTAAAATATTTTAACTAAAATTTTGGTACATGAACATGTTTATTATTGGTATATCCAACCAGAGACTTATACAAAAACATGGCAATCAAAAACAGCACAAAATGTTTTTATCATTCCTACACAGTTCCTCATTGAGAGTTCACCGGTAATAAAATCTTTCTTTAAAAGATACGTTTATAACCTTTTTAAGAAAATTCGGAAAACGAGAAATAAATAGAAACAAAAGGAATATGTCAGTACGTGAAAAAGTAGTTTGAAAAATCATTAGTTGAAAGTTCAATTTTTTTATTGTAATCTCGCAGACCCATAAAGTGTTGCAAGAGGAATCCAAGACATATTTTCAAATGTAAATGACAGAAAAAATATACAAATTTTCAACAAACTATAATCCGAGGAGCAGTATGGTATTTCAAAAGTTAATATAGCATAAACTCGAATATAAATCCAATCCCTCTCCGTGTCCGATTTTCTCACACGCGATGCCGGCATCGTAGATCAGCGGAATATAAAGCCTGAATTATTCGCGTTAATATAGCGTTTTAAATGGTGTTTCAAATCTCTGGTATTATATGTCTCTTACCCATCATGTTAAAAAAATAAAAAAAACTTAAAAATAAACCGATATAAATAGTTCGGAATTAACTTAAGTAACACGTGCATGTTCGTGAGCCAAGTCAATATCTTCTTGAGAACACCGACTTTTCATTCCTCGGCACATTCCAAATAGTTGGCAATTATGATGAACTTCGTTTAATAAAACTTGACCTTGAGTTTCTCGTTTCAATCCTATGGCACCACTTTATCAGTTTTGTACATTCGTGGAATGCAATTAATGTAATGATACAGTTATGTAAACGTATTCGGAGCATCTGTTTGAAACTTGTCCAAGTATATAGTCTTTTGTTTTAGTTAAAAATAGCAGCCTGTAAATTTTTTTCTAAGCAGAATAGTTTATATCCTAAAATTGTTTTAAGTAATAAATCTATAGCATATAAAGTGCAACAAATTTTAAAGATTTACAAAAGCAAGAGTGTTCACTCCTGACCAAAGCAGGAGTAACGGTAAAGAGCAATATTAGTTTATGATGCATCAGTTAGGCCAAAATTTAAAAAAAAACTTGTTTGAATGGTTTTGCTACCTTAGTCATGTTAATTGTTCATACAAAATGCACCCCTTAACTTGTTTTTTTTTTACTCTTAATGTATTGGTAAAACTAGAACGAAGCAATCCAAGATATTCCTACCTACCTACCGTTTTTCTAAAGGGCGCAAAACATTGAACCCATAATTTTTGTTTGACCTTAGTAGAATTTATTAAAATTCAAAACTTTATTGCCGTGTAAACAATTTGTAACAAAATCATGAGCAAAACAAAAACAATGTATTAAAATAATAGGACAAGAAGCAACCATGTATAATTAAACATATTTATAATGTAATAACTTTGCTTCCTTGATCTATGACATATCCTCAAGTTGTTTACAGTTTAAGTGAACGACTGTATTGGTCAATGAAAAGTAGATTCAAAACCTAATTATTGACACATATAGTTTGTTCAAAAAAGTGTTCATAATCATGATAATGTTATGTTGTTTATTACTATGATTCATCTGAGAACAGAATCTTCAAAATGTGCATCAAACTAATTCTGATACCTTGTAATTTATTTCAATTCAATTCAATTCAAATGCGTATTGCCATATAAACTTTAAGGATGTAGGTAAAAAAAATCTAGAATTTAAAATTGTACTATAAGTCAGAAGATATAGAGCACGAGTAAAGGAACAAAATAAGCTAACAATATTGATAGGTTATGAAACTCCTTTTTGCAAGATTTTTTTTTAAATGGCGGGAAAAGGCTGACTCGGACTTTTACTTTATATTTAGCAATGGCATTATTTGGGTCTCAAATCGTAAGAAAAAAATCTAGAATCTGCTTAAATTTTTATAATGACCTTTTTATGAGCTATTAAAGTCTTCTATGAAAAGAAAAGTGGGTGATATGGGGCAAAATATTTTATCCTGTATCGTAGGAAAAAACCCAAGAAGTCCGAACATCTGACAAAAATTCATAAACCTGACCCAAGTACATCCTTAATGTTACAAGTACAAAATAAGTATTCAACATAACTGCAATTTATTATGCTTTCAATATTTTGGCGTATATCTATGGATTTGCCTTTATTTTATAAATTACTGAATACATGTAAATGTAAAAAAATGTTTGCCAGTATAGAAAAACACGACCCACCATCGTAATAGTAACCCAGATTTTCATTATGGACAAGTAGCATGTAGACCTAAGAGGTAGTAAAATAGAACCCGAAATACAGAATTATAAGATCACAGAATTAAACCAATGTGTGTTCATACGGCATCATACCCTGCTCGCATTTAACATTTCCATGTTCAGTGATCGAACATCGCAATTTTGGTTGATTGATTTGAGTTTAACGCCACATTCAGCACAAGGCCATAAAAACGAATATGTTTGTTTGCCCTAACCGAGCCTACCCAGAAAAAAGCTGCCTACTCAAAATCTTTTATTGTCCTGATGTGAATAGGTTTTTTTTTAATCAGATAGTCATGAAGACTAAAAAACATCCGACACTACAATTTATCTTTGCCAAAAAAGAAAAAGAAAATGCCTACCTACCTACCCACTGTCTCTACCTCTTGGTAGGGTTTGGGCAAACCAAAATATTTTTAAGTGTGGCCCAATCTGAAACTAAAACTTTTACCGGATTCAGTATTGACGAAGGGGCAGATGGACTCACAGACTGAAAAAAAACCCATAAGACTGCTTCTACCATAGGCGGGGCTTAAAAACGTGTAATTGTACATTTTGTACGAACGCTACAAAATTCATATTAATGAGTTTCTTATTTGTTGGATCGATAAAGATGCTCATTTGACCACAATTCCGTATCAAACAGTAGAAACTCATAGAGTGTTACCGTGACAACGAATGACCATGATCATAATAGGTTGTGTCGCTTTTCATTTAGATAAAGATCTTTCAATGGTATTTTAAAACGCATAGTACATTGTTGTTTCTGCTCATTTTGGACGTCAGAATGGATAGAATTATTGTCTGGTTTGTTTTGATCGGGTAAATGGTTGATTTATAAAATTTTTAATCAGATCACAGGGAGAAGAGAGACTTATTCTAATTGTTTTCTTTTATAACTATGAGTTTCCCTTATAAACAAAAGTTACAATGTATACTTAATTCGCGGGGCGTCGACACATTTTTATACGAATGTAAAGTCTATGTTCCTCTTTAAAACGGCCAATAGAATTGAGGACAATACATAGCTATTATATTACATGTATGTAGATATGTTGAGCATAGCTTGTTCACTGAGAGGTTGATAATATAGAATCCCCTCTTTTGCCTTGGTCTCTATTCTCAATAAAGTTAGTCTTTGTATATTTTTATAAAGTATTAACAATACTTCTTTTGTGTGAACTGCTATGGTAGCTAAAGGACAAAAATCGTTTCAGTATTTATGATGGGTTTATTTAGAATTCCAATTTGATGAAAATCTGATCTGCATTTCTTCCCGTTGAATAACCTTCATGTCTGAAAGTTCAAATAAATGACTATTGTGTTTTAACCAGATGAATACTTTGATTTACTGCTGTAAAGTCGTTGAATTTGTCCGCTCTATCCCATTATCACATTTTTGAAGAAAAAAATGTTTTCTGACAAGAATATATTTTTATTCTTTTAGACACGAACACATCCATTTTGGCTTTTACCATTTCTTCATAATTATCTCATTTTTCTACACGGTTAGATAAATTTAAGCAATTATTGCGGAAATTTCTAACCGGAAGATGGAAATACAAACCTCGTTTAAAGGTATGGGTTTCGGTCTGTCTGAACTCCCACAAAGAAACCATTCAACAGGTCAAGTAACGGGTCACGACCAACCGAACTGAAAGAATGTCGAAGTACAAAAATGTATATGAATGGATCATTCATAAAAAAAAAAAAAACAGCTGCATTCATTGTCTCGACTTAACTTACAACATGTTGCATCAATTTGTTTCGTCTGATAAGAAATATCATAACTATTGCCAGATGTTTCATAATCCATATTTTCACCATCCCTAAAGTAACAATACACGGTCACAGAAGTAAAATTTGATATACAACATATATATCTTTTGATCAGAGCGAAATGACATATACTAGTAGTATATTGACTATTGATTGATAGTTCTTAGGTTATTTTTAGCTTGTATGCATATATTTGAGATGTCAAGAGTGAGTGAAAAGTCCATCCCTATTTGGTAGGATTGTTCCGATTTTGGTTATTTTGATTCTGACTAGGGGAAAGCCTTTTAAGAACACCTCTACACCCTATTAGAAAATCGTTCTGGATATATCTCTTTCAGAAATGTCATTTTCTACGAGGTTGGATGTACTTCAGTTATATTTCAAAGGTTTTCAGATAAATGTATTTTAAGGCAAAAAATTAACCGTGTTTCTCTTGGAATTGGTGTGCCCTTAACGACAACGTCATTTCTAATTAAAGAGATATTGAAAGCCTTTATTTGGTGAGAGGGACTTCCAGTTCTAGGTCGTCGACTGACTTAATATTTTAAATGTCGCCAATGATTCAGAAAACTATAAAAAATTGCATACATGATTTATATTTGATTTGCTATGCATTTGTAATTAGATATGAATAATAATTAACACACAGTTGTTTACGCTGCTCAGATTATTAAATCTTCAAAACTGGGGATGACGTCGAATGACCAACTCACTTATAAACTTTCTTGATATACAAATACAGGAAATTCTCAATCCAAAATTTTCTTGCATTGTGTAACTAAATAAAGTGGTAAGTGAAACTGCTAAAAGGACCCGTATAGGTCAAAGTTTATTTTATGAACCTTTGTAAATTATTTCATTGTATGAAAGTGGATTTTATTTTGCCTTGACCTAAGTCCTATACGGCTGTAATTTAAGTAAACATATGATAAAAATGTTAATCTTCTTCAGTATGAACCTGTTTGTACTATAGAGCAGAAGTAATTAATCTCAATAAAATTAAACGAATTGTTTATTCATACCATGATCATTGGTAATAGTTCCATTTCACAGTAGAGTATCTGACAGAATGTTCTATTCGCAGAACTACAATATATTATATATCAACACGTTATGAAAGCAAGTGTTTTTGGCCAAATTATTTGAAGGAAATTCGCCTTTTCAGAATCTAAAGGACTATGGGTAATCTCATTGTTCGTACACCAAAATGAAAATAACGTCACGTCATTGGTTGAATTTCCATTGTTTAGAACTTTTTAAACTAATCACAACGTTTTGGTGTACGCTTTTGAAAATATTACCCAGAATGCATTAGATTATGAAATGGCGAATTGTCATACAAAAACATTGATTATATTATTTTCTTTTTTTCAGAAGTGTGCACCACAGCGGGAGCCAACCAAAGCACCAGACTGGTGCAGTCCTCGGCAGTTCCTTCCAGGGACCGTCTCAAGACACATCGGAACACATACACGCTGGACGAGGACTACGATGCTGATAACAGCAATCAGACAGTTTCATCGACGTCATCACATTATGTGTACTTCAAAACGGCTGATCCACCGAATGTTTGAAACATACTTCTCACAAACATATAACTAAAAAGTTTAAATGGTATATCTGTCATGCGCGGGTTTTCCCTGCCATCATGGAACTATAAGCTTGACAATGCTTTGATAAAAAATCCACTCCAAATATTGACATGTTTCGGCATAATCAGTATGCTGCTTATAAATTGCATTGCTTATTATTGATATGAACAAACAAGTTGTGTTAATTACATCAGCTGTACTATTGTAAACAAGATTTTTTTTGCAAATCGTGTATAGTTATGTACATTTTTCAGTCGTTTATGTAAATGGTACGTTCTGATGTGTTTCGATTTGATACCAAGTTTTGTATCCCTAGTTACATTACAACGAAGAATTAAGCCATTATCTTCTGATCGCCATGGGTGGACTTTTTGCAAATAATGGAAAGCATGGCATTAAAATAGATTATAATACAACCACCGGAAGTGAAAGGAATAATACAAGAGAGTCATGAACTTTATCCCTTTTAACTCATTTTATTATTGTGAAAGGTGAAAATTTTCTCGATGGGTTTAACTTGTTCATTAAAATGCATTTTCACTCAAGGGGCGGGACGAGAAACGCGTCGGACACCAAATCGTAACAATGGTTTATTGGAAAATTGACCAGCGTGCCAAAACAACACCGTGACCCGTTTTCCCAGGGTCAGCAATTTATCATAAAAACATATGAAAAGGCTGCTATAGTTTTGTTTTCATCGAACGGATATGGGTCCTTTACACGCACTGTATACATTCAATTCCTGTCCGGAATAAATTCTTTGTTAGTCCGAAACACAATCTTACAAATCTGATGTGCAATGAATGGCGGGACTCGAGCAAAAGATTTAATTTAATGATGACCTCGATTGTATATTAGCCCAACAAAAGTTTGACCCTTTTTGTTGAGTTCAGATCATTCAAGTCTTTGTTCATTCATAAAATTTGAATCGATTTTATTAGAAAATTTGATGCATCTTTATGTTGCATGATTTCTGCACATCTCAGCTTTTTTTCTATTCAGTGTTTGAACATTTTTTACATTAAACTTTCTCGTTTGTCAGAAACAATTTACATTAAGCTTTATCGGAAGAATCTATTATGTTATTTAAGATTGCTGTTCATTTATTTTTATTTTTATTGATGGTATAAGGAACAGGTAGTTCAAACAATCCAAACTGATTTAAAGTTCGTTTTTTTAACATTTTAAGTAGTTTTCCAAATATTTGAAAGGTGTGCTATATTTGTTTATTTGTTATATCTTTGTTACATAAAATTGAATGTCAAGATAAATTTTCATTGATGTGAAATGTCATTTGAATGATGTTCTTTGAAGCTGAAAAAAATGACAGATAGTGAATAATTCCAGATGTTTGTATTTGTTTGAGTGTTCATTTGAAGTTGTAAATTATACGAGTTTAGTCAAGTGACATTATGCATTTTCATAAGTTATCCAGACTCCCACATGTACATCATTTTCACATAACTTTAGTTTTTCCCCCATTAATCAAAGGTCATTATATAAAATGTGTTCATATATAGTATTTAAACAGTGTTCTAAATGTAACCACAGAAAGTGTTCATAGAAAATTTAGTGAAAAATATTTCAAAAACCGGTTATTTATCCAGAAAATGTGGAGGAATAAATACATTATAGAAAATTGCATGAAAAACACTTTAAACTTGCCTTCAAACGATTTTCATTGTTCCATTTCGTTCTTATGCGCTGTGTGTGACATATATGTAATCTAGCTACTTTCAATATACTCCAGAATATCTCATATCTTACTTTAATTCTGGATTTTTTTTGTAATTTCCGTCAAATCAACGGAAAGATTAAATATCTGAAATGATATTTTACATTCTAAATCGGCTCACAACAAGGACTTGTTCAATGTTGATAATTTCCTACTGTATCGATCAATTCATTTTATTTGTCCATTAAACTGAATGTAAAATGAAATTTTTCAACTACTAACATCATGTGTTCATTTTATTATAATTAGTTGGGTTTTATTTACAGAAGGAATGTTGGGAGCCAACATATTAGTGAAGTTTTTTTTTTACTTTTTCCTTTTTCAAAACCTTGTGTCCTATGTGTTCATTGATATTCTGTCTTAAAGTGTTTAAGGTGAAAGTCAAACGACCTTGAAAAGGTCACGACCTATTGATTTTTCATTGTTACTTGTTATGATCTGTGATATTCATGTAAGATTATGTTCTTGTACATAAACTATCAAATATGTTTTTTTTTATAATTTATTGAAATTAAAATTGAAAATATTTTTTTGAGTTGTAACTGTCATTTCATATTACCGCCTACACCTCGTTCGTTCATATGATATTATATAACTTCTTATCTTTGCAATACTTAAAACAAATAGCAAACCTTTCAATCAACTTAGTATGTTATGAAAATGGAACCAGGTAAAATATTTTTTTCTGATCATAGTTGAGTCCTTCATACTTCCATTAGACTTTTCTTCGTGCAGTTTGATGATTTCCGGATGTTTGTTAAAGAAAAAGTTGCCATATCTAACTAGAATTTATTGATTCTAAAATGCTTAACTACCAAAGCTTAGATGATGTGTATATTGGTGTAATACCACCCTCGTCGTATTGGACTTAGTCAAAACATCCGCTTTTGTCATATAATTTTACTTGGATCGAAACCTTAGTAAGTGTTGTATAAATAGTCCCCTCAATGTGATATTTTTTTTTAAAACAAATCTCAACCCGTATTGTTAATATGGTTCCCGAACACATTTCGGCGGTATATAGTTATCGCTTTGTCCGTCTGTCCGTGTATCCGAAACAAATAATTTTCCGGATGATATCTTGAGTATCTTGCTTGATTGATATGAAACTTATACTTACGGAAGATATTCAGAAGAGGAGAAAGCCTCATGATTGATGTTATGGTCAATAGGTCAAGGTCACTGTTCCTTTACATAGGAAAAATGGTTTCCGGATGATACTTTGATTTTCTCTTGTATGATTGAAATGATACGTTTACAAATTAAAGATCTTGGGAATGGAAGGCGACGACGCCCATTTATCTTGGGGTTGATATTAAGGTCGCTGTCACTAAAAATAGACAAAAAAAACTAGAAAAATAGTTTACGTATGGTAACTTCGTATACAGATTTAGGAAAGGCGAAGCTTATAAATTTTGGGATCAAGGTTAATGTCACTGTGCCATGAGAATAAAAAGCGTTTGAAAAAGTGATTTCCATATGGTATATATCTAGTATTCCTTGCTTGATTGGAATGAATTTGATATGGGAAAGGGAATGATCCTATTTGTTTTAGAGACTAAGGTCAAGGTTACTGTTCCTAAATAAAGATTTTGTTTTAAATTGAAATCCACTGAATTCTAGCACATTTATACAAGATGAAAAAATAGCAATCATATAGGTCATTATGTACTTATCCTGGCCTCCAATATAAAAATAAGGTGATGCGGTATGATTGCCAATGAGACAGCTATCCACCAAAGTTCAAATGGATTGAATGTAAGCAATTATTGGCAACCGTACGGCCTTCAACAATGCGAAAAACCCATACCATATAGCCATACACAATGTGGCGGGGTTAAACATGTTGGAAGGTGCCAACCCTCCCTTCATGGGACAGCGGTGTAACGGCACAAAATAAGAATAAACTTTAAAAATCAGTTAAAAAGGGTCCTAACTCATCAGATCGATACAAAACAGAAAAACATCTAACAAAAACACAGACCGGACTAGGCAAGGAATTTATACACCTCTCACAACAACAAAAACACAAAAAGGACAGATCTGAGAATACTCACAGATACAAGCATACTAATATTTTGAACCTTTGAAATGTTTTCTCTCAATAAGTTTGCAGTACAGGGATCATCAGTTGACAGTCCCGGACTTTAACAAATGATAAACAAGTCTTCACACGACAATAAGTAGGTTTTGTATACAAATAACTATGAACCGAAAAAAAAGAGACCTGCAGTATAACGTGCACGCCTCTCTTATATATATTAAGATGCCTGTTACAACCCTTGGTATTTCGACGGTTAAACAGTGATACTTAGCTTCAGAAAGCTATATATAATCTAGTTGGTCGAGTTGCCGAGGGCACTGGAAACAGCACAAGAGGAATTGATAGCTGTCACATATAAGCATGTAGGTTCAAATCCCACTCGGGGAAAAACAAACATTACCTTTATTTCCAAATTTGCAGGTCTACATTGTTAGGATAAACTTGACGAAATAGAACGTCAGTTGTAAAGTTGTCACATATTTATACTTATATATTTGTGAAATACTATACCCGAATATCGGACTTGGTCCAAACATCAATTTGTATCGTATAAATCATGCGTCAACATATTTCTTTTTTGTATAGAAACTCCAACCTAAGGGCTGATAATATCCTTGCTCAACCCGTTTCGTTTAATTTCACACGTGATAAAGTAGTCTTCATGCAATAATAAATGGGTTTAATATTATATACAAATAACCACAATGTAAAAAGAGACATTTTGTATACCTTTCCACATTAACAAAACAAATTAACTCGGTTGAAAGTCCTGACCTCGTTCAAGCAAGCGATCAAATGTATACTTAAATATGTAGATGAATAAAGAAAAATCGGTATTTGTTGCCAGAGGTATACGATTCAGATGCAAGGCTTTCTAATTATAAATAAGATGACTTGTTAAAATTAGAAAGAATGTTTTTTGTTACTGGTTAACATTTGAACAAAAGGCGCCCACGCGAAATATTTCATTCTTGCCAACTTCACAATGTGAATAAACGGAGATGTGGAGTACACGTGTATCTAATACAGACATTAACCTAACGACAAAAACAAAAGCCACCCAGACTTCAAAAACAGACGGGTGTCTATGAAATACATTAACCTCCAAATCGTCCCAAGTCTAGAAAAGTTGTGAACTGATTAAACAGAAATCAGTCCTCAATATTAAAATTGTTAAAAGTTCTATTAATAGTATTACTGTCCCAGGTTAGGGGGGTTGAGCGCTCACAACCATATTTAACTCCGCCACATTCTTTATGTGCATGTACCAAGTCAGGAGCTTGTAGTTCAGTGGTTGTCGTTGGGTCATGTCTGTCATATTTGTTTTTCGTAAATTGTTTTGTTATGAATTAGGCCGTTTTCTCGTTGTTGAAAGCCGTACGGTTGCCTATAATTGCTTACATCCACTTTATTTGAACTTTGGTGGATAGTTGTCTCATTGGCAATCATACCACATGAGTTTTACAGAATAGAGAATAATGGACAAAAAGATACAGAAAAGAGAAAAGTAGGCCAACAATATTAATAATAAAGCAAAATGGAGTGTTAGAATATAAGGAATAAAGCATACAGTGTAGAGAAAAATGGTCTATAAAATTAAAGAATACAGAAATGCAGAACCACTCCCGTCCCTCTAAATCCTGCCCATCGGTTATACGAATCATTTTCCCTGGAATCAAAATGTGTTCGAAAGTATGCATTTTAGCAAGATAAGTTTATCCCCTCCCCACGAAAACAAATATTTTAAAATGATTAGGCTTTGTTTTTTTTTTCTCCAATCAAATTTTCATCAAAACGTGCCAGCAGTACAGGAAGAAATTTAACAAGCACGGATTATTTAACATGAATTCATTTTTGTTCAATAATTTTATCTTTAGCGCATTATTCACCAATATATAACCTGTTGTTATTTTGAACAAATGACGATTTTGGACATACATCTAGGTATAGCTATGACTAAAGTTTAAATATCTCTTCAAAATCCTAATTATTTGATTTACAAATAAAGGCAACAGTAGTATACCGCTGTTCGAAACTCATAAATCGATAAACGATTTTGTGATTTTTTTTATTTTTTTTTTTGCGCTCATTTTCGAAACCTTATGCCATAGAAAATAAACTGCTTCGCCGAGCGCAGCTGGATACGACCACAGAGGTCCAACCCTGAACAGTTGGGGCAAAAATGGACACAACATTCAAGCTTGATACAGGACTGAATTTGGATTGTAATTAAATATTTGACACATTATAGGTTTCTGACACAGAATAAATGTAGTCAAAGAACTTGAAATTGGTTATATGATTTGAATTTATATTCAATTGAAGATTTCTTGCTGTTATGCAATACACTGTGCTGTTGCGCAATACTTAGTAAATCTGTTTTCAGACTATATACAAAGAATTAGCAAAATAAATTGTGACTCCCAATTTGTCTTTGGAATATTGACAGTTTCTTAAATCTTGAGGGAAAAAAAATTGATGCCCTTAAAATTTTTATTTTACACCCCACCAAATTACATTTGAAGAAATTTTCTTTTTGTAAAATGTGGCACAATTTAAGAGACATCCATACACTTACACCTGTCCTAAGTCAGGAATCTGATGTACAGTAGTTGTCGTCTGTTTATGTAGTTCATACGTGTTTATCGTTTCTCGTTTTTATATAGATTAGACCGTTGGTTTTCCCGTTTTAATGGTTTTACACTAGTAATTTTTTGGGGCCCTTTATAGCTTGCTGTTCGGTGTGAGCCAATGCTCCGTGTTGAAGGCCGTACCTTGACCTATAATGGTTTACTTTTATAAATTGTTACTTGGATGGAGAGTTGTCTCATTGGCACTCATACCACATCTTCCTATATCTACTTAAAAACAAGTTATTGTCTGAAAACTAGAAAAATGCTTGTTTTCATTTTAGACCCTTTTTGGCCCCTAATTCCTGAACGGTTTGGGCAATTACCCCCCAAAATGAATCCCAACCTTCTACTTGTGGTATTGAACCTTGTGGTAGAATTTCAGAGCAATCAAAATACTTATACACAAGTTATTTTCCTGAAACTTGAAAAATGTTTGGGCCCCTTTTTGGCCCCTTATTCCTAAACGGTTGGGACCATAACCCCCAAAAAACAATCCCAACCTTCCTTTTGTGGTATTGAACATTTTGCTTAAATTTCATAGAGATCAATACACTTAAACTAAAGTTATTGTCCGGAAACCAAATGTCCTCGGACGTCGACGATTGCGTGATAGCAATATACGACCGCAAAAATTAAAACGTACCGGTCGTATAAAAACTACTAGTAAGTTACCCGAATATTCAGCTGCTCTACGTTACCACGTAGCGAAGAGACTGAATTATTCGGGTTTACCCAGAGTAAGCTAACAAAAAAACAAAGAAACCCAACTTTTGTCCCATTTCCTGTAAAATTATCCAGTAAACATTGTCATCACAGACATAACTAACCTATTGGAAACTAATCATCCAAAA